TCGCCACTCGCTCTCAGCTCTGCCTTCGGATGAGTCCGTAGAGTCGAGTGGCCCGTACCCAGAGCTTGTTGGCTGCCTCATGTACCTGATGACCTGCACACGACCTGACCTTGCATACCCTCTTAGCATTCTTGCACGCTATGTTGCTCCTGGGAGACATAGACCAGAGCACATGGCTGCAGCGAAGAGGGTGTTGCGCTACTTGTGCAGTACGTCGGGCATGGGGCTAGTGCTTGGAGGGCGGAGTCTAGTGGTCCTCACTGGGCACGCGGACGCTTCTTGGGCTGACGACCAGGCTACGCAGCGGTCGTCACAGGGTTACACCTTCAGCCTTGGTTCTGGCTCTGTTTCGTGGCGGGCTACTCGCTAGTCTTCTGTTCTCGGCTCCAGTTGTGAGGCTGAGATCTACGCCGGGGCCATGGCTGCACAGGAGCTTCGCTGGCTCACCTACCTGCTGACCGACCTTGGAGAGCCGCCTCGTTCTCCTCCAGTCCTGTACGTAGACAACAAGGCCATGCTGGCCTTGTGTCGAGAGCAGAGACTGGAGCACAGAACAAAGCACATTGCTCTTCGCTACTTCCTCGCTCGTGAGCTACAGCAGCGTGGTCAGTTGCGGCTTGCGTACGTTGCATCTGAGGCCAACACTGCTGATGTTTTCACCAAGGCACTTCCGCCTTGTGATCATCAGCGCTTCTGCACTCAGCTGGGTCTTGTGCCTGTCTTGCCTCACTTACTCACCCCTTGACCTTGCTTGTACTCTTACATATATATATATATACCTGCTCTTGCTTGTTTAGACTTATATATATATGTGTACTCCTGCATGTGAACTGGCCTTGTGGCCTTGACCTTGTGCTCGGACTGTGTGGTGACGTTGTGATCCACCCTGAGCTTTGCTTTGCTTTGCTTGACTGGTCTTGTGACCCCTTGTTCTCCCCCACTTTGCCTATGGGGGTGTGTCAAATTATAATATTGTGTAGGCTATAGTGGGGTAGCCCATATGGGGTACACATTTCTAGGGTTGCATATTTGTATCACTTCCATTCCTTAGTCATCCATTCTCGTTCTACTTTCCTCAAGCTCTCCCCAGCGAGGTATCTCAGTGGCGTCAGGGAACTGGTGACGCCAATCGTCCGCCAGGCGGCCGAAACAGCGCTGGGTGGAGTGCAAGCCCCCGCACTGCTCACCAGCTCGGTCGCTGGTACGGAGGACGTAGGTACAGGGACCAGTACCCCCACCTCGCTGACGCGCAGTGTACCACTCACGAAGCTGCTGGGGGGCCCGGGTCTCACGAGTGCGCTGCTGCTGCTGGCGCTGACTACCACCTGAGCCGCTCCGCTGCGCAGAGCCACCTCCGCCACCGCCGCCACTGCCTCCTCCTCCGCTCCCACCGCCACCGCCGTCGCCGCCTCCGCCGCTACTGCTGCCACCAATGCTCCCACCCCCGCCACCACTCCCACCACCACCCCCACTCCCTCCGCCTCCTCCACCTCCACCTCCACCTCCACCGCCCCCGCCAGCCCCTCTAGCTCCCTTTCCCCCGTTGTTCTTGCCGGTGCGGCGTCGCCCGCTAAGGGCAGACGCAGCGCCGACCGACTCGGTGCCAACGAAGTCTACGGCAGCAGCAGATGCAACAGAGGGCAAAAGGGGGGAGGGGTAGCACCCCTTAAAGACAGGGGCACACGGGTCACCTCTAGAGGCTCCTACAGTAACTATATTTTTCTCTACTGCGAGGAGGCGCTCCTCGAGGAGGTCAACGGTGAGTGTGGTGGGGCAAACTGAGAGGAAGTGGTCCCTGACGACGCCAAGGGAGTCAGGGAGCTGGGTGACTATGTAGTAGAGGGTGATGTACATGGGGGGAGGGTTCTTGGCGCAGAACTCAGCAGGAAGCGCAGCGCAGTAGCGAGTTTCACTAGTGCGAAGTTGCGTAATGAGGTCAGCGACTGTGCGAAAGGCAGCAAGGTCAGGGAATAGGTATGGCAGTATGAGGCGGCTAAGAACACTAGTGGCAGGGGAGGAGTAGCGTGCAACTACAGCGTCGTACAAGGTCTTAGCACTCTTGTACCGACTAAAGTGCGCACGCTCAGCGGTCGGTAAGTGGCGACGCACAGCAAGACGTGCAGCAGCATCGCGTGTGGCCCACTGTGAGCGAGCAGTGCTGTCAGCACTAGCAGGCGGGGCAGGAGAGGCACCAGAGGTGAGATCGAACAGGGAGAGTCCGTCTGCTCTATCGCACTGTAGGAAAAGCTGCAGGTCATCGACCCAGACCTCGAAGTAAACAGCACGACCCTCAGCATCAAAGGTAAGGACACTGGGGGTAGCCATGACAGTAGTAGTAGCAGTAGCAGCAGTAGCAGTAGTAGCAGCAGTAGTAGCAGGAGCAGCAGTGCGGCGACGCTCTTACCAGGGCAGAGGGCCGCAAGTGGTGGGGAAGGGCCGAGGCGCACCGGCAGGGACGGGCCGAGGTGCGCAGGCAGAGCCGGGCCGAGGCGCGCCGCCAGGGACGGGCCGAGGCGCGCCGGCAGGTACGGGCCGAGGCGCGCCGGCAGGGTCGGGCCGAGGCGTGCCGGTGGCTGCTGCTGGTGACGGCTGCGGCTGCTGGTGGTGACGGCTGCGGCTGCTGCAGTAGAGGCGGCGACGGTGGGCAGCGAAGGGGCCGACGAGGGCGGCGCGAGGGGCTGTAAGGGGCCGACGAGGGCGGCGCGAGGGGCCGTATGGGGCCGACGAGGGCGGCGCGAGGGGCCGTAAGGGGCCTACGAGGGCGGCGCGAGGGGCCGTAAGGGGCCGACGAGGGCGGCGCGAGGGGCCGACGGGCAGCGCGAGGGGCCGTAAGGGGCCGTAAGGGCGGCGTGAGGGGCCGTAAGGGGCCGCTAAGGGCGGCGCGAGGGGCCGTAAGGGGCCGTAAGGGCGGCACGAGGGGCCGTAAGGGCGGCGCGAGGGGCCGTAAGGGCGGTGCGAGGGGCCGCACACGAGGCGCGACTCGGGCAGGAGCGAAGCGCGCTCCGGGCAGGAAAAATAATCGTGGTGGGCCCTGGGAAGTGTTCTCACTAGGGAACCTGCTCTATACTATGTGAAGAAATGAGGAAGGAATGAATGAACTAGCAAGCAGGTGGGTACAAGTAGGAAAACCTAGTAGTGTTGTACCCCATATTGTCTACCCCACTACAGCCTACACAGACTATACCATAAGAGTTTGACATCACGTGGCCACTCGGGCCAACATTGCTGATATATTCACCAAGGCACTTCTGTCTAGTAATCATCAGCGCTGTACTATGTTAGGCCTTGTGCCTGTTTCGTCTCACTTGCTCACTTCGTGACTTTGCTTGTACTGTGATCTAAATATATCTCTGCATGCTTGCTGTGAGGATCTAGGATCGAGCTCAGAAAAGAGAATTGTAATTGAATGATCACCTGGGTACAACACGAGGCTATATATAGGCTCGACACAAGGCCCCGTAACCAGGTGTTACGCGAAGGTTTCGCGGGTCGCGAAGCGTCCCGAACAGATCCTTCCCGAATTCGGTAGAAGGCAATTCGGTGGCAACCGAAAAGCCAGAATTCGGTGCACGCAACCTAGCTCCGTGCTATAACTATAATAAAATATAGGAAAGCACCTAGCCTAGGAAATCAAGCAATTCATGCATGCATATGATTATCCTATGCTAGAAATAGCAAAATAAAGTAAAGGCAAGCAAGCATAGCTGGCATAAGCCGTCGTACTCTCACACTTGCTCTTGCTAGGTAGTTATCACTGTACTGTTGTTGTTGCATTTTTACCTCTGCATGTGACCTGGCCTTGTGGCCCTTTGCTTGTGCTCGAGTGTGTGGTGACGTTGTGATCCACCCCAAGCTTGCTTTGTTTTTGTTGACTGGTCTTGTGACCCCTTGTTCTCCACCACTTTTCCTATGGGGGTGTGTCAAACTATATATGTGTTAGTTCTGTGTAGGCTATAGTGGGGTGGCCCAAATGGGGTAGAACCCAAAGTTAGGGTTAGTACTTGTACCCACATTTCATTCAATGCAGTCATTCATGCTTGCTGTCTTGACAGTGCAATGTTCACCCTGGACCCTACAAAGATTCTCCCGCATGTTGGGACTTATGTGACATTTCCTAGGCCTATAAGTAGTACCCGATTTCGTAGACTTGCTTGTGGTCTGAAGAAGGCGTATTACGCCGGAACCGGTTACCATCATTTTTATACAAGCGTTTTCCTACCCCGGCCTAATCAAGCAGTTGCTGCCACGTATTGCACAATGGCCTCTAAATGGGGCTCAGTTGGACTCAAATTTGCAGTGCTGGCAGGTCGCCGACTTTGCTGCTTCTGTGCTAGGCAAACTTGATCTGATGTAGCCATTCTTGCCACTGTTGTTGCCATCATTATTCAAGAACACTTGCTAGTGATCCAGTTCTCGTTGTGAATGTGCAATTAGAGAGACCTAAATACGAGATGATTATGAAAAGAGCTATTTTACAGAAAGGGTGTAGTGCTTGTTTGATAAGCATGAAAAGTATACCGATCTGCGTGGAATAAAGAGCGTGCTCCAAAACAGGGGGGGTTATAGCGAGTTGGTAAGAGGCCTCTTAGAGAGGGCGAGATAAGAGTGTTCCATGGTGGCCATAAGTCTGTTAAACGTACGGTCCATTCGGACTTTCAGTTCCATACTGTTAGTCGGTCCTGTTCTGTTGTGTTGTACGAGATGTGCAAGTCTCAGTGAGTGATTCGGAATAGTTTAGTACACTCATCAAAGTTAACTAGAAAGGAGTTATCTTCGTTTATATCACAATACCCGCTGGTCTCAACCACGTCAGATCCACTCACCCTTTAACTGCGGGACACATTGCGCCACTCCACGCTACTACGCCAACGCCCCATCACAGCGGCACTCGTCATCACCCTCTTCTCGCCGTCCCAACAGCGCTGTCGTGTTGCCGACGTCTTTACTCGTCGCACACCGTTCGTCAACGGTAACATTGTATTCACGAGGGTAGGCACGGCATGGGTAACGTGACTAGCTGGCACGCGCGCTTGTCTCAGGACAATCCGTCTGACGTCATCGTCGACCTCTCAGGACTCTCCGCGCGCCTGCCGTATCACTTCCACGAGGTCGACGGGTCGTTTCATCTCCCGTACGGTCTCGGAACGCGCCGTATCGCGCTGGAGGACCTCGTACCGCTAGCGCGCTTCGAGCAGACAGTTGAAACGACCCTCCCGATAGCTGTAGAGAAGAAGATCAAAGTGTCGAATCCGGCCGCTTTAGGTGGCGACGCCGTTCTGGCGCGCCTCGTCGCCAGCAGCAGCGGTGCCGGCGGCGGCGGTATTGGCGGCGCTGGCGGCGCGCGCGGCTCAACGGGCGTTCCGCTCGGCGGATCGGCGGCGGGAGGAGGGGGGGTCGTGCGAGAGGTTCTGGACTTCTGGGACTCGGCGTGGCGCGACGTGGGGAGATGCGACACGGACGTGGGAGTGGTGCGCGTGGAGGCGCGCGTGTCCGTGGACGTGTGCGGGTTTCACCGCGCGGAGCTAAAGCCGCCCAGCGGGTGGCTGGACCGCGGGGGGATCTTCCTGATCGGGCGCGCGGAGGGGTGCGCGGTGATACGTCTGCGCGTGCGGTTCGAGAGCGAGCGCGACGCGCGCATGGACATGGTGGTGGCGGGCGTGGTGGGCGTGCTGTCCGTGGTGGCGCTCGTCGCCATGCGCGTGTGGGGCAAGGCCCTCAAGAAACTTCTCAAGGACTGACGGGACGCGCGGCAGCGAGGGCATTAAGGCAGAGCAGGGCGAGGTCGAAGCTGGGGGGTTGAACACAGACCAAGCAAGCGATCGTTCTGAAAGGCAGGCGCATGAGGAGAATAAGCGTGCAGGGCAGGCGTGTGCTGTGGTTTGAGGGTGCTTGGTGCGGCAGTGAGCGGAGGTCGCTGGCGGCACAGGGAAAAGGCGGTGTGGTGCGATGTGGACAGGAGGAAGGGGTTGTGAGTGCAGGCTGCCTGGATGCGAGGGCAGTGGGGAGAGTGCGGGAAAAAGGGGGGAGAAATGGGAGGTGCAGAGGGGGGTTGGAAGGGAAGGAAAGCTAGGGGTTGCATGTGGGGTGACTGGGAGGATCCTGGGAAAGGGCGTTGTGGGAGAGGAGGCGGTGACGCCGTCACTAGGGGTAGTGGTTCATGCAGGGTGGTTTGGTGAGAGCCGGGGGGTCAGAGGTAGGGTGATAAGGGGCAGCAGAGTGGCAGTTGCTTCTTTGATGCAACAACAGTAGGAGCAGCAGTGAGAGCACAAACTTTGGGAGCAGTGGTGGCAATTGCGATGAGGCCTTTGTTGGTGGAATGGCTCTTGTGTGGGGATAGACAGCAACCAAGCACGGCTCTGTCTGTCAATGGGAGCATGCAATTGCCATCATGGCATGGGACATTCAAAGCATCAGCCTCACCTTCGTTCCATCATCAAGCAGACATTCAGGCATGCAAGTGCCACCATGGCATTGAGATGTTGGCTCTCTTATTGATACAATCTAGTCTAGTGTGCTGCATGATTATCCAGATTATTGTGGGTGGATAGGATAGATCGTGTGAGGTAGACGTGGCTGATGAATCAGCTTCTGCTGCGTCTTCTTTTCTAGAAGAATAATAAACTGAAGCAGAAGGTATCGGTTGTTGGAAACTAGTAATTTAAGCGCTTCTGTTGTGTGTCGAAAGAAAACGAGGCGAAGCACAACGAAGCATCGGCGAGTCAACACCAGGGCTTTTTTTTTTTTTTTTTTTTCATTTCTCGGATTTCCAGGGCTGTTTTCTAGAGAACTCTGAGATTCAGGGTTCATTATGAGCGTTACTCTGATTTGTCAGAGAAAACTTAACTTCTGAAAAATATACTCTGGGCACCCAGTATATCTATTTCTCCAACTCTAAGTTCCTCTAAAGTATTGAACCCAAGCCTTCTGCACTCCATCCAGAAAACTACACGTTGTGCTACGCGCTCATCATTCTGCTAGATTACGGTTTTGTTAAATCCCATTAGGTCTACACATCTTCCAACAATGGGGGGGTGGGGCGGGTCGGTCGAAATGCCTATACCCTGTACAGAGAAAAGTACATCCGCCACAAATATACACTGGCAGGGCCTATTTTATCAGTGTAAATCACACTGCTATACTGATGAGAAGGGTGAATTTTAGGGCCTACACTGATGTGTTTGGGTAATTTTTTTGAAACTTAGTGTTACACTGATTTGACAGTGAAACGATTTAGGCCACACTGATGGTGTGGGGTAAATTTTTTGAAAACGAAGATTACCCTTAAGGGCGTACAGGCCCCCCCCCCCCCCCCCCCCCCCTTTTCATTCCCGAAATTTTGCACGAGCGTGATTTCCGTCAATCACGCAAGTACCGAAGCGGCCTTCCCCGCAGAATATGCGTTGGCAGCAGTCATCTGTGTAATTGGTCAGTTTGTTATGTTTCGAGATGTTGCCTGCACTTAGTCAAATCCCTGACCACATTCATACTGTCGGTGGCACAGATGCAAGCCGCGTCACCCAACGAAGCGACCTACTGCTGTGCCGTGTTGGTTCAGCAAGCTCAGCAGAGTGGGTCAAGCAGTTTCGCAACACTCGGCCATTCCTCCAGCCAACTCCACAAACCACGGTTTTTTTTTTTGCCACTCTGTCTAGCATCCACACGTTCTCCACCCCGTTGCCATGGCAGCGCCGAGCGACGATGACGCTGACGATGCCGATGGCGACCCCCATTGTAGCCACGGTCCAAGAACGGGCCTTGATTTCTGTCAGAATGAGGAATGAGTGTTGCATTGATGTTGGTTGGGGTACATATGACAAACCCTAACTTCTGTACCCCCTAAGACAAACCTCACTACAGGCTACAACATTTGACACACCCCCATAGCCTAAGTGAGGGGTGTCTAGCAAAAACAAAAAGAGTACGGTCACAAGACCAGTCCAAAAGAAAACAAAGCTCAGGGTGGATCACAACGTCACCACACACTCTGAGCACAAGCAACAGTGGCCACAAGGCCAGTCCAAGAGATCACAAGTATATATAGTAAATGTACAGACGAAGCAGGCAATAAACTCAAGTCTACGCATGACTAGAACCTGTGTCAACAAGGCCTAACTGCACACAACACCTCTGGTGGTCACAAGGCGGAAGCGCCTTGGTGAAGATGTCTGCAGTGTTGGCCTCGGACTCTACGAACTCGAAGCGAGCCTGTCCACGCCTCTGCAACTCTCGCAGAAGAAAGTACCTGATGTGAATGTGCTTCACTCTGCTCTCCAGTCGCGGCTCACGACAGAGGAGGATCGACGCCTTGTTGTCAGTAAACAAGGTCGGTGCAGAGCTCGGCCGCTCACCAAGGTCAGTGAGCAAGAAGGTCAACCACCGCAACTCCTGTGCCGCCATGGCACCAGCGTAAATCTCAGCCTCAGCTGTAGAGGTCGAGACAGAAGAGGAGCGCGTGGAACGCCAGGAAACCCTGTGATGAACCTGCACCTCGTCCTTTGCCCGAGCACTCTGATGAAAGTGAGGGATGGATGTACCCTGTGCGCAAAGCGGCCCAAATATCACCACCGTGGATGGCGGTGGATGGCAGCGTCCGGAACGCGATGAGGCGGAACCCGTCGTGCACGACTTCATCGCCTCGACGGAAATGATATCTGAAGTCCCGGAGTCTTCTAACTCCGTGTCGCTGAAAAAACGCCGGTACACGCAGTCTACTCTTGGTTACGGCGGCGGCTCGCCTCTCGTGAAACCTGCTCCTCCGCCACCTCCTGTTGTGACGCCATCTCCGTCACCGCTGAAGCAGACTCCGGCCGAACGCGCGGAAGCAAAGTTCCTCGAAGCACAGAGGAATTACATCACCAAATGGCTGCCGCAATTTGATTGGTTGTTGCTTGACAAGGGTGATGATGGTCTGCCTTGTTTGCGGTGCAGTGTGTGCAGCGAACACGGTCCCGACAATGCACGATACGGGCGGAATGGCAGCGGCGGACGGGACCTGCAGCCAGCGTCGATGCGGGCACACCAAGCGAGCTCCCGCCATCACGACTGCATTGATCGCCAGAAGGGTCTTCTGGACAAGATGGCGGCGCAGAAGAAAATCAACGACTACGAGAGGGCTGACCCCGAGGGTGCGCGAGTGACGAGACTTATGCGCAGCATCCAGTTTGTGTGCGACGAGGACGCTCCGATCGCAATGTTCCCGAGGCTCGTCGACTTCCTCGCGAATGAAGGTGTTTCAGACATTCCTCAGCAGACCTACGGTGTATATATCACGCAGTGAGTGGAATTTAATAATTTGTTGCCGTATTGGTGTATAGCTTCCGGAAGGATTAACACCATCCCTTTTGCGCACCATGCAGATACGGCTTCACGGAGATGGTGAAGGCTATGTGCACGTATCAGCAACAACAACAGCTTATGTACATCCATGCATCACCGTGGATCGGCATCAGCTGCGACGAGAGCACAGACCGGTCGCGCGGCAAACACCTCGTGGTGTTTGCAACCTTCATGAAGGAGCGAGCAGTGGTGACGGAATTTCTCGCTCTACTCACCATACACAAATGCGACGCGGGTTCCCTCTTCGCGGTTTTGCTGAGCCACCTCGACAACATCGGGATTGATCTGCAGCGGATTGGCGCGGGGGTGATGATTGGCAGCCAATCCGGGCTTGTTGTTCGTCTCCGTCAGCGCGTCCCACATCTGGTCGGAACTCATTGCATAGCGCACAGGTAGGTTTGTTGTTTCCGTACAATCGCCTCGTATAAATGAGTAACTTCCACGGCCTTAAATTTTTCTAATGTTGTATGCAGAGAAGTGCTCGCGGTTAAAGAAGCCACGAGCAAGTTTCCGGACCTTGACATCGTCGATGACGCCATCCGTGGGCTTGGCGAATTCGTCATGCGGTCTTCGGTGTGGCTTGAGCGCTTCAAGGAGCTCCAGCTCGAAATACATCAAACGAATTTGGAGCACCAGGGGCTATTCGACGTGCGTTGGCTATCGCGCGGGGATGCAGTGGCCCGTCTGTGCAGAATTCTAGGGGCGGCGATCGTGGTGTTCATCGAGTACAACCACCGCATGGCGGTAACTGTGCAGACCCTCAAGTTTCACTTCTGCGTCTACTTCTTGGCGGATCTGCTGGCAGAGATAAACGCACTCAACAAATTTTTCCAGCGCAAAAAAGTAAGTGTTGATTCACTGTGCATGTTTTTCTTCTAGTCGTGTCATTTAATTATACACTAACATTTTTACATGTTGTTCATGTGCCCGTCTCTGGTTCAGGTTGACATCACGCTCGTGCACCAAGAGGTGGATCGCACGATTGGAGTCATCAGACTTCGATACGTGGAATACGTGGACATTTTCGGAGGGGGGGTCAGCAAGCTGCTGTCGCCATTCATCGCACGCCTTGGCAGCGGCAGGCGAACTATCCGCGTGGACGGCACGGATGCGGATAGTGAGCCATCTTCACATCAGATCGTGCTGAGCGAGGCACCAATAGCAGGACACCAATACGGCGGCTCGATGGCCGACTGCATCAAGTTGTGCAAAGCGTTCGCATTGGAGGTGGCGACAAACATGCACACTCGAATGTGGAGCTTGAAGCAAATGGATGGCAGCAAGCTTTACAAAGTTGAAACGTGGCCAGAAGCGACAGACAAGCGGGATCATCGGGTGCTGAGTTGGCTGGATGCCAACGCGCGGCTCTTCAACAACCGGCTGCCAGGTAATTATCCACACG